TGTTCACGAGGTTATCGGTGCAAAATGAAATATGTATTTTGTTCGGAAAATTGGTCAGCGCGCTCCAGATTCAGATATAAATCGGTGAAGTTCTAAACAAGCTCGCTAACTTTAGGTTCGGTCGACGCGAAATTTAAAAGATGCTGAAACTTTAACGAAAGGCTGAAAATTGTGAAAGGACTTATATTTCATGTAAAGCTGGAATCGGTATTTTACAACTTGACGGGAGGTTTATTTAGTAACTTAGGTAATATGTTTCCTGAAATCACCACCGCTTAACAACAAAACGTCCGTTTATTATTATTATTATCTTGTCTATACACGAAAAGTTGTGGGAAAAAGCTTGTACAGTACTTCTCAGAAATGGTCACCCCTTCTTATTTTTGCACGGGTCGAATTAGCAAGCTGAAATTCCGGAGAATGTGATTTGACACAATACTACTCGTATATCTTTACATAATATCTACCAACTGAAAATTTCATGTTGGTGGCTGGGCGCCATCTTGGGACATTTTTCATGTGGAATGTGGAGTTATCTGATGTCTCAAATTGAAGGTCCTTATGAGTACTTTCTAATCCTAAAATCACTGTCTTTCAAAATGGGGGATTAGTAGACTGTCAAAGTTAGCCAGTTTTGTACATTGATCCGCTTATAACTGGACAATTAATTAATCTTCCAAGCGTTATACAGGGTCCGTCAGAAGGACCGCATGTTTTTCGAATGGGTACTACATCGAGTGGGCTGGTCCCGTGTCGGTGGGGAAGGGCGTGTTGGATAGTGGGAGAAGCGCCGTTTCAGTTGGCAAGATGGTTTGGAACGTTGAGCATCGTGTGTTCACTGTACGTCGGTACTTTCAAAATGGCGAGTCTGTCGTTCGAACGCAACGTGAGTTTCGCGTTCACTTTCGTGTTCCACGTCGTGGGACAGTACCAGACCGTAACACCATTTTGAGATGGGTGGAAGCATTCAACACAACAGGTAATGTGATGGATAAAAAACAGCCAGTGCGAAACCGTACTGTTAGAACCCCCGAAAACGTAGACTGAGTGAAAGTTGACACGATACAAAGGCCGTTATACGTTTAACGTCTTTGCGGGTTAAACCATAAAACTTTGCTTCCATTACAAGGATATAGCGAACTAATGCTTCTTCCAATTCTGGAGTCAAAACTGTACCTCGCCCTAATTTGATCTGAACAGCCTCTTCTACGCTAAGATGGTCCATTTTGGCCAATCGCTGAACTGTAGTCCTTGGAACGCCAAAAGTTTTAGCTGCCTTTAGAGTTCCCATCGTTTTTTCTCTTACCGCTCGAACAGCCCTTTTCACATGGTCTACATCCCATGTCTTCCGTTTCTTGGCGCTGAACTTGCGGCTTACAATAACTTTTCTGCGTGTCATTCTAAAACAAAGTTCTCGATTTCTATTATTGCTACAAATATGGGCTAGCCCATATTACAAACTTAATACCAGCCCATATTGCACATAACCTCCAAAAAGTTTGAAACTCCACAAATATTTTATATCTTGTATCTGAATATAATTAAAGACAAAATCTAAAAATATGAACCTTATTTTCAATTGTGATCTATAAAAATCAAGTTAAATACTAAAACCTACTTAGTTACAGAGACAAATAACCACCACTGCAAAATTTATAAACACTGTAAAAGACCAATTCACACTAAACTGAATTGTGTATGTGAAAAGAAGAATTCTGTAATCAACAGGCGGTCACGTGCGCATATAATTGTTACATTACTCGATAGATGAGCAGCTGTCAAATGATGATGTCACGAACTGTCCCCGCGGCTCCAAATGTCAACCCATGAATATAATAATAATAATAATATTTATTCGCCAAAATACAAAAAATGGGCAAATAAATATGAAAAAACCACAATAATAAAGTTTTTAGATTCAACTTAGTTTCCATTATTGATTTATGCGCTTTATGTCAAATGGCAACATTCATAAATTCATCCTTTAAATGAAAAATAAAAACGTATCCATGGATTCGAACTCTCATGTGTTGCCAAATGCTAAAACAGCTTCTCCACTGAGCCTATAATGACTGTTAAAATCATCTGGACTATAATTTAGTATTTAGTTCAGCAGAATCCATATAATTTTGGTACTTAGTATGATTTTTTCGCTTTCTTTTAATTAATATTATTTCCAGGATACTTCGATCCCTCCCACAACTGCCACTGCTTGCTTACAGTATTTTATTTACCAAAAACATTTCATTTCGCAAAATAATTCCTGTAACATTTATAAAAATGGTAAAAACAAAAACATTTTTACCTAACCTCAATTTTTGTTTTTTATAATTTCCATCGGATACATCAAGCTTTTAATTCGATGGATGTGATGGATAAGCGCATTAAAATGTTCCTTTTTGTAAAAACGCTTAGATGAGTTCCATTGCAATTCTAACATAACCCTTTCCTATTCTTTTGTTTTTGTTTCCTGTAGTCTGCGACATAATTTCCATAAAAAGTTATTCACGATATCAGATGACAATAGGCGTACTACTTAGTTTCTATGAAGTCATGCATTGTTTTTCTTGTGCATATTTTTAAAAGTAATTAGGTGCCTTCGCAATAAAGCACATATTTACTTATATATAACGGGTGATTTTTTAAGAGGTATAGGATTTGATTTTCAAAAAAAAATAAAAAATTTGAAGAAACGATTAAATCTTTATTTGAGTCGATAGAACGGTCGATATAATTTAATGTTTAAAGATTATTTCATGTAAATGTTGGCCGCGGCTCCGCTTTAGATGGCCCATGCGCAAGGTCCAATTTTGGCACACTCTCTCCAACATATCGGCCGGTATCTCACGAATAAGTGCTTCAATATTGGCTTCCAGTGCGTCAATCGTTGCGTTTATCCCTGTAGACATTAGCCTTAACATGGCTCCACAAGAAATAGTCCAACGGCGTTAAATCACACGATCTAGGCGGCCAATTGGCGGGCCCCAAACGTGAGATAAACTGTTCACCGAACTCGCCTCTCAATAGGGCCATTGTTTCGTGTGCGGTGTGGCATGTGGCACCGTCTTGTTGAAACCACATGTCAGCCAAGTCCAGCTCTTCCATTTTGGGCAAAAAAAAGTTTGTTATCATCGCACGGTAGCGCTCGCCATTCACAGTTACGTTCCGGCCATTGTCGTCTTTGAAGAAGTACGGCCCGATGATGCCACCGGCCCATAATCCATACCAAACAGTGATTTTTTCGGGATGCATTGGTAGCTCTTGCAATGCTTCTGGCTGGTCTTCACTCCAGATGCGGCCATTTTGCTTGTTAACGTACCCATTCAACCAGAAATGAGCTTCGTCGCTGAACACAATTTTTCGATGAAAATGTGGATCTTCCTCCAACTTTGCCAGCGCCCATTCACCAAATTGGAAACGTTGTGGGAGGTCGTGTGGCTTCAATTCTTGCACCAGCTGTATCTTATAAGGTTTTACACCCAAATCCTGTCGCAAAATTTTCCACGTAGTGGAGTAACAGAGGCCCAATTGCTGCGAACGGCGGCGAATCGACATTTCACGGTCATCACTAACACTGGCGGATACAGCCGCAATATTTTCTTCAGTCCTCACTCTACGTCTGCGTGTTGGTGGTTTAATGTCCAATAATGTAAACTGGGTTCGAAATTTAGTCACAAGCTTCCAAATAGCTCCCTCAGTAGGACGACCAAATTGCCCATGAATTGGAAGCAGTGCTCGATGCACTCTCTTAACCGAGCATGAATTTTGATAGTAAAATTCAATAATTTGCAAGCGTTGTTCGTTCGTAAGTCGATTCATGGTTAAATTATAGACCAAACTGAACAAGTTTGACAATGATACAAGACACGATTCACGCGTCATTTTTCAAAAACAGTGTTGCCAAAAAGATACTAGCAAAAAAATCACCCATTAGTTTCTATCTCTCATTGGTAAGCATATACAAGCATATAGGCAACTGCAGCGCCATCTATGAGAGACTAGTCTCTACAAAGTATATATAGTTATTTACTAAACGGCCGTGATAAACTCTCATAGATGAGGCTACGGTATCTGATTTTATCTCGGATAATTTTTTGGGCGCGTAAATATAGCATTAGATTCGCTATCTATGAAGTACAATACGTTAATCAGTGGTAGTAGTTTTTTTTATTAAAGGGCAGTACAGTAGAAACCGTAAAGGCGTAAAAGAGACGAATAAAGATGCTGCATTTTCAACTCATTTCCTCATTCATAGCTGAAGCGCTAAAGTTTTAATGACAGTCCTCAACGAATCGACCACGACTTTCGCCGCTGCCACGCCATGGCGCTACGACGCCCTGCCGCCATCGTGATCGCGAGCTTGAAAGCTGCTCTGAGTCGAGCTGCACATCATTGCTCTGCAGCTGCAGCTTAATGAATCCACTCCAGCTTCGGCGGTTCAGCACGACAAAAGCTTCGTTTAACTATAGACAGCCTGAGGACGTCTGAGTGGCGGATGAGTGCAGCAATGATGAAACCCTATGCTGCAATCGTTAGAAACGGGGAGTCGAGAATTACACACGTTTATGAATAGTTTTTGTAATTGGAAATTGTTGGTGATGATTTGGGTTCTAGTGCTTGGTGGTTATCTTTGTGTAATCATGAACAATAGGGATGGGCGGTTATGGATAAAATACAGTTATGTTCTCAGTAACATTAATCTGCAACGGTTAATCGATGCAAAAATAACCGGTTACCCAAAAATGACACTGATTTTTGATCAGTAACATCAGAGCTCTGATGAGACATAGCATTTTCTTTCGATAAAACTCGTTCAGGTTCTGGACTTAAAACACACTGCCCTAGCTCATCCTGACATTTTCTCCCAAAAGCACATAAGATATCTGTTATTACATATCTCGTGCTGCCATCTGTTAATGAAAAATTTCCTTTTATTTCGTTGAACTACACCGCGCTGTTATTGTGAATTTTCGAAGAAGAAAAGAGAAAACCATGAGAAAAATGTATGCATAGCCACAAACAAAAACTGTAAAATATAACACTGACAGTTCAAAGTACGAACCAAAAGACTATACTGGTTTTGGAAAAAAACTTAAAATATGCACAAGTGCAACACACTACAGCTTCACCAAAAAAAAAACGCATTAATCACAATGTCTTAGATCGTACACTTCTGGGGTACATCGTACAGAAACTAGATAAAATATATTTGATACAACTTTATTTCAATAAAGGTATTTTTATTTCCAGAACCGATCTCTCCGTGGTCACTGAAGCCGTCCAAAGCAAAAGCTTGAACAACCTTATAATGGTAAGTATTCGTACATCTTTCATTTTTTGAGCTATTTGTATTCCCTGGTATGGACTTCGACTCTCAAAAAACTATATTTGTAAGTGATGGTTGCTATCAATGATCCTATTGTTGGACCGACCCAATATACCTGAAACAAGCCAAAATAATTCTAGGTTTTCTTATTTACATGTTGTTAAATAAGCTGAAAGTGTAAACCTCGCTATAAATTGACACCCCTCTATCTTTTTTGTAAGACCGAGCTTAGACGAAAAATGTTTTATACGATATAATGTATAAGATCTAATGTAAAGTCTTACGCGCAATATATATTTTATATACTCGTACAGTAATACTCAGAAAAGCTCAATCGAATAAAATTGTATTTTTTTCAATGGAACGTCCCGCATAATTTTAGTGAAAAAGATAGTCGCGTTATTTCAGATTCTGATTTTTTCATGAGTTTGGTAAAACCTTGAATTTTGTCATTCATTCATGTGTATCTGAGTTCAAAAAATTATGTACAGGGTGTTCCAAATTTGGCACTCGTCATTGGTATATCGATAACTGTAAGAGGTTCGAAGCCGCTTGAATGGGAGCAAAATTGCGCATTTAGGTAATCAACAAAATTAGAAAGTTTCGATATTCAAAGTACTTCCGGATGGAGACGGAAAAACCGAATTTTCCCAAAACAGTTTTAATTTATTCCTGACTTTATTTGTACTGGTACTTCAAAATAAATTGCACATTAACATTTCCCCTCTACAAAATGGCATAATTAGAATCAATATGACTTTTCGTCTCTTATCATCCTGCATCAACTTTATTTTTCTTGTAGACGCCAAATGGATAGAGTTTCTAAATGTATCATATGTCATACACTGACATTGCAAGATCTTAGTTATTCCGAAAATTATTGAAATTATCAGATAGTCATTTGTTTCGCCTACCAGGTTTATCGCAAAATCACTTTTATTTTTCCTAACTTTATTTGAGATGGGATTTCAAAATAAATTACATGTTGTCGTCGCTTGACATTTATTTTTTCTATTTTCATCACCAACTTTATTTTTTCATATGGATGCTATATTGGAATTTCGTACATTTAAATAGACTTTTCAGTCCTAAATTTAGTGATGTATTTTCTTAGTTGGCTGAAACCTGTATGCTGGAGCCTAAACATTTTTTTTATAACAATAACAATAATAATCATTAATAAGCAGAGGTAAATCATAGCAGATGTTCAAAAAGTTGTCCGTTATTTTGTAGGCATAGACTGACTCTTCTATGTACATTGTTGACATCTCGTTTTATTTCTCTTAATGTCAGTCTTTCAACCTCTGTTACTATGTTCAATCTGAGGTCTGGTCTGGTATACCAGACAAATGAAATCTGATGTTTTCAAGGCCTACCTAGGAACTTTTGTTTTTCTGGAATTAATTAGGTATGGCAATGTCGGTCTACGACATATATATTTTCGAAATCAGAATTAAAAACTCTATCCATCTAAGAAAAAATTAAGTTTTTCCGTCTCTCTGGGGTAGAAGTACTTTGAATTTCGAAACTTTCTCAGCGGCATTTTGTTGATTATTTCAAATACCTACGCAACTTTGCACATGGTGAGGCGACTTGGGAATCTCTTACATTTTCCGGGATCCTGTATACAGTAGGGCTCAGATTTGGCTGAGTACGAGAGAGAAGCGTGCAATATGTATCCTTAGACAGGGTGCGCCGATGGCAACGCGGCAAGCGGTAGCTGTGTATGTGGCCTCGTACTCGGGTTGCTAAGCAGCGAGATGCTTCTACTTCTTTGTAACACACGCTTCTCTCTCGTACACATTACGACGTCAGTGGTGTATGGATTTCACTGTATATTATATTAGACCCTACAACAACTGTACATAGCATTTTTCATAAAAGATCATGCAAAAAAGCTAAGACCTTGAAAAAACTTTAGGGATGACTAAAACGATAGTAAAGTAATTTATAAAAAATCTGTGATATGACTTATTGGTAAATGTGGAGATGGATGAGTGTGACAACCACTGGATGAGTTTCAGAAACACTAACATACTTTTGAATAATTTTTTATCGTTCAAACTTACCCAGTGAGATCTGAAATCGTTACTCCATACAGCTGGTCCGAAACTTCTGACGGGATTCATACTAGCTCCAGTGTACGAACCCTATGCACAAACAAGGTTATTGAACTAAATAATCAGTTACAAAGGGAACTATCATACATTAACTATGAGGTGTGTTTTTAGTAATTATCTTCATATTTGTTTAAAGCTTAAAGTGATACACATCTTACATGATAATGGCTTAAAAAATATTTCTGTGAATCCTATAATCTCTTAAGTCAAAGGCGTTAATTTCAGCCAAGCAGGCAGAATCCTAAATGCTAGGACACCGCGACCGCAAGGAGGAGCTTAAAGAAACTGTTAATCTCCGATTTTTGCCTAAGGTTAGTAGAACCAGGAAAAGCCTCCTCATGTAAGTTGTTTCACAATCTCGATACACTAGGGACCAAGGAGCGATCGTATCGGTCAGTTCTGGATGTACGACACGGTTAGGATGGGAGGCCGAAGCCAGGCGGGTCTGCCTGGCAGGCACATTACGCGGCGGCATCAAGGTGGAGAACTCTGAGGAGCAAAGCTCATTGGCATAGCGGTAGAAGAGAGCTACATAGATCGCCGACAAAGTCCCGAGGATGTCCGTTAGAGAAGAGTGATATCGAGAATGGATAATGTAGTCGCAGCGGCAGCACCCCAAACATGTGAGCAATATTCGAGACAATGCCTTATCTGGGCCTTGTATAGCGTGAGAAAGTCATGCGGAGACAAGTACTTCTTAGCCCTAAACAAATAGCCTAGCTTTTGATCTGGAACTCCAGCCGAAATGAACAGCTCTTTGGCAGAACTCGGCCATCCATCGGACCCGATGAGCGCTAGGACGCTTATGGTTCATCAAGCTACAGTACTGTGTTTTGGAAACGTTGAACTGTGCTAGATTGTTGCGTCCCCAAGCAGTGATAACCTCCAGGTCTCTTGTCAGAAATGAAGTAGGTGCTAGTCTTATTTTCTTCAGCTCACCAGAGAGAGAGAAAATCTACATGAAACTTAATGAATAATAAAAAATAGGTGATTTTAATCTATATTCCGGGGCTGTTCGGATCACTGATTATGAATCTGTTATCAGTATTACTACATTTTCAAAACTTGCCACATTATTCTGGGCTACCTTCTATACATAGATTACTATAATCCCCCTGTTTCTCTGGCCAACGAATTATCTTCATGAAAACTGCAGGCTAAGTTTCATATGTTACATTAACATAGAAGACTGCATGGGCAATATTGTCAGTCGTTCCTACAATTGTAGGACGCCTTTATGGCCTCCTTGATTTTTTCTCTCCTTCAGAAAGGTATTTTGTAGATTTCTACTGTTCCGAGTCAGCGTCGGCGCTCTCCTATTGTAAGGCTATGTTTTCTTTTTGAATTGCAGGAAATTTCAGGTTGATATAACAGATGATATAAATCTCAATCATCAACATTTTGATGCGAATAGATATTTGTATAACCTCAAAATAAAGCGGTGACACGGAACAGCAAAAAAGCGTCCTACAATTATTGTTATGCATATTTGTAAAATAACCTCAAAGTAGAGCGCTGATACGGAAGAGTAGAAAACTATGAAAATCAAGGAGGTCATAAAGGCGTCCTACAATAATTGTAGGATTGACTGACGATACGGCACTAAGCTATATGTTTTTTTAAGGAATTTACATTTTTTCACTCCACAAGGCTTTATGTCTAATTCCTATCGTCTGTGTGAGATAGGGGAAGGTCGGGTAAAGTGGTCACCCTAAGCCTTGAACGCATGCCAAACAAATAAATGTGAACCTTTTTCAAATCAAATTCATTATATTTTCCCACTAGCTAATATAGTTTCGATATTACATAGCTTTTAAACGATTGTTCTGATAATTTAAGCGTAATTTAATATTTAAGCCGAAATGGGATGTTGACCACTTTACCTATCCTGGTCGGGTAAATTGGCCCATACAAATTCATAATCGGGTAAAGTGGCCTACTTCAAATAAAATGATAATAAAATAAAGATTTATTCAAATTTTGCGTAGAAAAAATATTTATTGTAAGCAACAACACTATCACAATTGTTCAGGTAATTGTTTATAACTCAAAGTCTTTTGATTGTTTATACTTATAAAATTATTAAATAAATGTAACTTTCCTTCATTTAATGACAAACTAAATAAAGTTTTAATTACTAAACTATGAAATGCAAATAACAAACTCTTCATTATTCATTAACATTGAATAAAAAGAAAATATTCTCACGAACAGAATTCGCAATGAAAGACATCATCGGCGTCATCACAACCCGAGCATGCTTCATGGGCCCATCGCTTGCAGCTAGAGCACTGTATCCAGCCATCTTCATGTTTTGATTTAGACCAAACTTCCCCACAGTAAAAGCATTCAGGGTCATCATCGGCCTCATCATCAGTATCGTCACTTTTCTTAATTTTAGCATTGTTTGTATTTTTACCACGTTTTTTAACGTTGGTTTCAGCTTTAAGTTTTTTCCCAGTTTTAGTTGGTTCAAAAATAGCTTTAGTCACTCTCTTCAGTTCTTTTTTTTGTTGTTGCTGTGTTTTTTCTTCCTGTAACTCATTTTTATAAGGACTACTCGTTAAAATTGCTCTTTCTATTTATTTTTCTAATTTTAGCCAATGCTTTGGGAATCGGAAATGAGTCTTCAGGCGCTACCGCGAAGGATGTGCTGGGTTGTAGGTCTATGTAAGGGTTCAATATTGGCGAAGTAACTGGTAGCGTTACATTAATATTTTCTTCCTGATCCAATGTTGGTGACGTAACTTGTAGAATAGATGGAGACTCTACTCTTTCAGGTGTCTCATTCTCATTATTAGCTTCATTTTGTTGTAGTTCCTGCTCAAGAAGAATGTTATCTGTTGTGTCTGCTGGCACAAAATCATAATCTTTGAATACGTGGCGATCCATTGGTTCTACCCCACATTTACGAAATCCATTGATTGCAATGGATTGTTGTGCTGCCTCGCTGTATGCTTCGCCAAAACGTTTGCTGAATTGGAACACAGTCAAGGCTCTTCCTGGGTTATTGCGAAGATACTTCTCAACTGCACGGATGTAATACTTATTCAAAGGACCCATAAAAGACACGTCCAAAGGTTGCAGTCTATGACTGCAGTGTGGAGGCAGACACAAGACGGTCGTGTGATTTCTTCGTGCCATATCAATGAAATCCAAATTCTTGGTATGTGAATTGTGTCCATCCAAAATTAGCAGTGCTGGATCATCTTCAGTCGGCTTGGCAAATTTAAGAAAATGCTTAAACCATGCCGTAAAAATGTCCAACTGCATCCACCCTGACGAATGACACGCAAAACCAGTTCCTGGCGGTGCCCCATCTTGAAGTTCAACCTTCATTCTCTTCCGGGGAAAGATAATAAAAGGTGGAATGAAGTTACCGCCAGCGGCCATGCAAATTACAACGGTGCTTAATACACCTCGTTCTGCAGAGGTGATGGCACCCACCTGCTTCTTTCCCTTTTTCGCAAGTACCTTAGAACTCTTGCTCTGCACAGTGGTGAAACCAGACTCATCCACATTGAAAATGCGATGAGGTGGATAGTTTGTTTTAGTCCTTACTTCTTCTAGAAGGTCAAAATATTTCGTGACACTTACTTTGTTGAAACCTTGTGCTCGGGCAAGAGAAGTTGCTTCTGGGCTTCTCAGTGTCAGTTCTGGTTGACCCTTTCTAAAATCAGAAGCCCATGCTTTTCCAGCCATTTGAGTGTCTTTATTGAAGTTGTGTTTTATATTGTTGCGTTCAGCTAGTTGAAAGGCTAATTTCCTTACATCCCGCAATGTTAATCCGTAGAAACGATTCTCAAGTTCCAAAATGTGTTGTACTAATTGTGCCTCTTGTACCGGACTAAAAATTGGACGTCGTGACCCCAGTATTTTAACATTTTCAACAGCATGTTTGTTTTTTCCTTGTACACGCCGTTTAAGCGTTGATCGGGGAACACCGAAGACTGTGCTAGCTTTAAGAAAGCCCATTTCCCCATTTCGTACAGCTCTAATAGCTTTTTCCATCGCTTCCGAATCCCATGTCTGCTGCTGCGTCGTCCGTGTATATCTAGTTGGCATATCTAAAATAACACAAACCATTATATGGTTGCAGGAAAAAACACTAAAAAGGTAAAGTGGCCTACAGGGTCACTTTACCTTACCGATTTGGTAGGCCACTTTACCCGAATTGGCATGCGGCGAAGAAAAAAATAATTCAAATAACAAATGAGGTTATATTGACCTACTTTGCGGTGGAATGAATTGCTCATTTCATACACTCAACCAATAAAATCGTACATTGTTTCTCTGTGAATCTGATGACAATATATTTTTACTATGTTTAAACCACTCACCTTAGATCAAGGACCACTAAAATATATTTTTTCACAATAAAATCCTAAGACAAGCACTGATCCAGTTGATGGTCACCGAAGCAATATGGCGTCAACCAATGATATTATTCCCATATCCCGTAATAGATGGCGCTTAATGGTTCGTTTTTAAAATGAAGGTGGCCACTTTACCTGCCTGGGTCACTTTACCCGACCTTCCCCTAATGCAAAAATGTGCAAATTATCCATTCCCTTACCGCAGCCAAATTCAGAACTCCAACCAGAAACCCAATCCTCAATGCCACTGAATCCATATTATTCCCGTTCCGCTTATCCCAAGTGGCCAGGACAGCAAGAACTAGAATAGTCGTCAGTATGATTTCAACTCCCAAAGCCTACAAAAAATCAAGACAGTGAACAATGCTCTCTGCTTCCTGAATACATCTGCATAAATTTAGCACAGTGTATGTAATACTGCACATCAATGCAACTTGCTTAAAATAAACGTAAATGTTTAACGAATTACTATTTCCTTGAAAGCTCGTGGCTGACACGATGTTGTCCGTGGTTTACACGTTTTATGCAGAATGATTCCAAAACATAAAGAAAAATTCAGGAAGCGAGTCTATGGACTATTTTGTTCCGTAAAGATTTTTCAAAATAATAAGTTTTCTTAAATAATTTTGAAACCCTGTATGATTTTAATACAGAATATAATTAGCATACTTATAGCTCCTGGAACGGAATAGCCCTAATGCAATATTGCTAGATTTTGTTACACAATATATAAGAATGGCTCAAAAGTAATATTTTTGAAAATCGTCATCCTGTATTCGAAAAATAAATATATTCTTGTTTGATTCCGATGAAACGAACTGTTTTATTGACCATCATACTGATTCGACCATTTTGAAAGTATACTAATTTGCCGAATGTATTCGTAATCAGCCGAAAAACCGCCCTACCGCCGACCTGGAATTTTCGTCTAATAAGCAGTGGGCGGTTCTGAAAAGCGCTTTATATTATAAGACGTTCTTTTTTGTCATATTTTTGTGTGGAAGGAAAAGTAATAAAATAATATGGGAGGAAGTTATTGGACCACAAGAATTATAAAAAGGCAGGCGAGGCATATAGAATTTGAGACGCTGTGAGGCACGCAGTGTAGCTGTTGCAAATTTGGATCTAGGAAAAAGAAAAAACTATTTATTATACATATTGATAGCTAAAGAAATACGTAAAATATTGATTTTTGTGTGGCTGGTAAGTATTTCACTTAAAATGTTGTTTTTGACGAAAAAAAATAATGATTGAATTAACTTATCGAAAATCTCCTATTTCTCTTCGAATTGTAATCTTAAAGATATTGTAAATAGAAAATTGGAAAATGGATTGACTAACAATTGTTTGAGTTTTGTTGCGTTTGGTTTTGATAAATCGCCAATATAGAACATTTTTTCACGATAATTTTCTTTTTAGTAACTTGAAAATATGCTTAATAACTTCCTCCAATATTATTTTATTACCATTTCTTCCACCATAAATAATGGCGCCAAGTAGGTTGACTTCCTACGAAACGCGTTCATGAAGGATTAAGTTCAGCACAGGTTAAACCCTCTGAGAACAAAATTAGTTATAGAAATGTACAATAGGAGATTAATGGATCAAGGAAGTGAAAACAGACACGTACAATTAATCCAAAGATATTATTTCCCTGCCCAACCGGGATTTATCGTCCATCTGGCAATGTTGCCTATTCCCATACCATCAGATGCGGCAGCGCCCACTGAAGCATCTCTGCAGTATGAGCAGACCGTTACGCCGGGTGGTGAGCCCGGATAGCATAAGGAGACGCGTATCAAAAAAATATTTCTATCATTTTAAGTTTTAAAGACAAGTGTACGCAGAAATCTATTAAGTGTGAAATATGGCTAATAGGTGCGTAGAATTACCGGTGCTCGGAGTATACATATACTAACAAAAAAAGAGAAATCTTACCCCTAGAAATGTTTTAAAAAATGATCAGGATCTTCTGAAACGTCAAAAAAACGTTTGAGAAATTGTAATTTTTTCGTTTTTGGCCTTTTTCTTTGCCGCCGCTGCACTGATTTTCAAAAACTAAAAAGCTTTTTCGTTCTTGACGTAGTAGTAACCTTGTGCCAAAATTTCATTCAAATCCGAGCAGTACTATCCAAGTGATAGACCAAAAACTACCCGACAGACCGATGGAAATGAGTGGCATGGTGACATGTCATCCAAAATGCAGAATATGTATTACGAAATTTTTCATAATTACAATACAGAAAAATACTTTTTTCTACGCCGTTACAGTGGTGTCACTCTCAAAAGTATTTATTTCCAGTGGCGTCCTTTAGGAGCGCGCATTTATTCTATCTGGTATTTTTGCCCCATGTTTCGGAAACAACGTATACACTGTTGAGCGAGTCAAAGCCGACAACCTCAACAAAAAATTTTAAATACAGTTTTAAATTAAGCAAGCAAATGCAACTTTTGAATAGTATTACGTATCAAAATCGGAAGTTGATAAAAATGACACACCCTAGTGTACAAGCTGTTCTTGTTGGCAGCCGAAGCGAAAGTGAACAGTGAGTTGCCGTTGCCTAGCTCTACATAGCAAGATGGATATCCATTATGCAACATCGTAGGAAGTTGCGATGCTGTCTAGTATTTTATATGCTATGAATTTACCTCCCAGTCTGTCAGAGTCTCATAAGGAGCGTTGACGCAAATGCCTCGCCCAGGATACTGGATTTCGTGTTGGAGCGGAGTCACCATCTGCAGAATTGTAACAAAAGAATGAAATGACAAATTGGTTATTTGTCTCAAAGAAAAGGAAGCTTGTAGTACAGTGGTAGTTTTGTTACAAAAGTTGGAATTAGAATCGAGGGATAATTTTAAAATTGTAAGCTTGTTCTGCTTTTATTCCGCCTTTAGGATCCTACTAGTATTATAGACATTTTTTCTGAAGATCTCAAAAAAAAGTGATCGAGCTGGGTGCGGAGTATGCTCTAGAACAGCGTTCCTTAACATTTTCCAGCCAAGGACCCATATCAAATCAAGCATAACTGTCAGAGACATCATCAATAAATATCATGGCATCTGAAAGTACGCCCCCCTCCCCTCGCATCCAGTTGCTATCAACGGCATTCGTTCTGTATCAAATAAGCAACAACCTCAACACAGACACAGTTTTCACCACCATAAAAGATAATGTTAAAAATAGCCGTTTTTCAGGCCCCTCTGTGAAGTGAACGCAACCCAGTGCAAACTATTGCTTATGGTTAGAAGTGGTCAGAAATACTTATTGGAATCTCGAAAAGTACGGGGAGTAAAATTCTCAAACTTCTGACTCAAGATTCGTGTTCAGTGAAAAAATACATGGCAAAAATATAGTGGAACCCCCAGTACACACCCCTTTTTCGTAGATTTGCATCGTCGTTCAATAGGCGGTGATTACTGTACTTTAGGGATGGATAGACCTCTCCGCACTTTTCTGGTTTCCAATTAGTATTTCTGACTACTCACTGGGTTGCGTTCGTTTCTAAACGAAGGTTTTTTGGATATAAGAGTCTCATATCTTTGAATAACGTATGCTCCACATACTTTAATCCCCGTAATTGGGGTAGTTGTGTATATCCAATAATTTTTACATTCAATAACTTCGGTTAATGTTAGTTATCCTGGGATTATTTATTATTTATCTTCAAACTTATGTATGCAGAACTGATTAAAGACCGTTATTTGACAAGTGGTATTGCGTGTGTACTTGAGGGATGGGGCACTGGATTTCCCCATACTTTTCAAGTTTGGAACTACTTTTGATCATAATCAATAATTTTCAGTGGGTTGCATTCATTTCCCAGGGGGCAGAAAAACGCCTGTTTTTAACAATTTTTGTAGCACTATTTTTATTTATTTCTTGTAATTAATTGGAATTTAGGGTCTAAAGAAACATAAATTCCTGTTATAAAAGTGACGACGTTTCAGAAAAATGTATTTTCTTCTTCAGAGCTCTACATAAAAATATGTAAAACACTAACTTAGCTTATACATTAACTAACAATTTAAATTATAAAGTCGAAGTAAAAGGTACTTATTTTGGTTAAGGCATTACATAAAATATTTAAACTCATCTCCGAATTACATTACCAAGATAGCAATTCCCAACATATACAATAAAAAATAAAAACAAAACAAAGATAAAATGTTTAGACAGATATTAAAAAACGAATAACAAATACTTACAATTTTCGATTATCAGAAAAAAACTATAACGAATTAAAGCTAAAATACGAATAAAAAGTTCATTCCGTGTTCAATTATCAGAAAAAAACTATAGCGAACTCACCCTTTTACTGTGCTGGTGAAAAAATAATCCAACGTTATGCACTTCGTAGATATCATTTATACTGCAACTGATAAATATAACGACCGCAACACTATTACGTTTGTTATATACTAAGTGACATATAAATCCGAATACCCAGTTTAAATGGTTTTATTTTAATAAAAGTTGGTGAATGTATTTATCTTACTGTAAATAACAAGTGAACAAATTTTCAGCCTTATCAGTTGGACATTCCGGTTTTTATACTGCTTTTTTTTAATTCACTAACCCTCTAAAAATGAATATTTCAGCCGCAGTAAAGACTCAACGTTGGCGGATTTTGGTTGTTGACATCCTTTATGATCGGTTACGATGCCTAGAGTACGGAGACCTGTACGATTTCGTCAACTTAGTGAGTTTGATAGGGGCCGTATAGTGGGACTTCGGGAAGCTGGACTTTCTTTTCGGGCAATTGCAGTTAGAGTGCAAAGAAGTGCACACTGTGGTTAGGTGTTGTCAGGCATGGCTTCGAGAAGGCCGTACGCAAAGAGCAAGGGGCACTGGACGCCGCCGTAGAACAACAGACCGTGAAGATCGCCGCCTAAGATTATTGGCCTTAAGGGACCGTTTCTCCACTACCAGGTCCATTGCAAATGAATGGTTTGCAGAACACCGAAGTTCTAGAACCCCATCTTTTACCCTATCTTGACACCCTGGCAGATCCACCTTTCAACAAGATAATGCCCGACCACATGTTGCAAGAGTCACAATAGACTCCTTTCAACATAATGATGTCACATTGTTACCATGGCCACCAAGATCTCCCGACTTATCCCCAATTGAGCACGTGTGGGATATGATGGGTAGGAGATTGCTCAATTTACAACGTCCTCCTTAGACTCTAGAAGCACTTCGAGAGGAGTTGGTGGTTGCCTGGAATGAGATACCACAGGAGGACATTGACCACCTGATCAGAAGCATGCCTAGGCGCGTTGGAGAATGCGTAGCACATCAGGGTGCATCCACACATTATTAAAGGTCAAAGGGCTTTAAAGCAGTGCAATCATTTTGAAATTTTTATCATTTACTTATTATGCTTCATTAAGTACTTATACAAAATTTTATTAAAATAAAACCATTTAAACTGGGTGTTCGGATTTATATGTCACTTAGTATATTTATCAGTTGTAAATTGTATGGATGTGCATAATATTTTTTGACGGCCACAGTTTCAAAGTAAGGGTGAGTTTATCTTTACCGGTAGGCAGGGAAGTATTGTAATCGGGAAAGTTTTCGAAAATGAGATATTATGTTTTTTGTATGTTATATGACAGTACATTATGAAAAACCATGTCACTCATTTCCTTCGGTCTGTTTGCCTGTTTGTCGGTCTATCAATTAACCTTATAACCGCCTATAACTTGAGAACTTGGAATTCGATGAAATTTTTACACAATGTTACTAGTATGCCAAGGACTCAAAAGCTTTGCAGTTTTTGAAAAAGGCCAAAAACAAAAGATTAATAAAACTCGATCAAACTTCGTTTTTTGATGTTTCAGACGATCCTACTATTTTCGGAAATTTTTTTGTAAGAGTTGAAAATTGGGGGTTACGGGTTGCAGAGGATGGGGGAGGGTATATCTCAATTTTTTGACGTTGATATATCTATACGCCTAGAAGTATCTCATACAGTCGGGTGGCGAGCTTATACGTATGACGTCGTCCCCTGATGGACAAGCGTCGTCGTCGGTGGACATACCGGTGTGCTGCATGAACTGTGCATGATGAACGCCAGTATCGTCATTCACGCGGGATTGGTCATCGCAACGATCTGCTGCGCCTGTCCTCCAACAATTCCTCAGAGGGAGCAGGAAGGACATATATTTTTTTGTTATACATGTTCGTAGCTAACTTTTTTCTCAGAAACGCTAACTTGTGCCAAACATAATCATTTACGAACTAATAACAGAGTCGCGAGGGAAGCACAGAGTCAAATTATACAGGGTGACTTTGAAGTTGAGTCATTAATTTTCAGATAATGATTGTAGAAGGAATATAAACCAAAATATGTGTGTAAAAATAAAAAAAAATGTTTACCTTGTTTTATAAAGTATCCTCCCGACAAGTATTTCAGTGCGGACCTGTATTTGATCGTGAGGTCCCCTGTGAGGTCTTAAGTCACCTGATTCACGAGCCCCCACATTAACAAAGGCACGAGGGGTTGGTTGCACTCGATTGGGAAACCGATCCGCATAAACATGTGCCATTTTTTATTTCGTTTGAGCCACGCAACAGATATAACTATTCACTGACACTTACTGCATACAAATGAATGAAATAATTCGTTCCAAATTCTTTCGCTTTTTTGTTTCCGATGCGATGAACCGATACGACGGATTATATCCGTTGTCGCCAAACACGAGCACATTGAGACAGGGCGGTACTCAAACTTCCAAAGGGCTATAACTTTGTTACTTTAATTTTACCAGGAAAATGGTAAAGGAAAAAAACATTTCTTTTGATCAGATCTACTCACTGTTAAAATAAATGACTCAACTTCGAAGTCACCCTGTATACTTGACGCCATTTTTTTCTGATAATCGAACAAGGAATGAACTTTTTATCCGTTTTTTAAATATCTATCTAATAATTTTATCTTTGTATTATTTTCAATTTCATTGTGTGTATATTTTTGGAATTGCTATCTTGTCAATGTAATTCGGGGATGTTATACAATGTCTTAACCAAAATAAGTATCTTTTACTTCAATTTTATATTTAAATTGTTAACTCCTGTATATGTAAAGTTAGTGTTTTAAACATTTTTTGTAGAGCCCTGAAGAAGAAAATACATTTATACAAAACGTCGGATACCTCATAACAGGACCTCAACGGATAACTAATTACAAGAAATGTCTATTAAAAGAATAATTAGAAGTATAATTGTTTTATTGTTGAATGGAATATTAGACCTGGACCGATAGAGGTAGATTTTTTTTGGCTGTCTGAATAATAATAATAGAGATCTAAAGAGTATAACTGGATAACTGGTCAATCGTATTTGATCATGAGCCTAGAGCATTCAAGAAACGATTAGAGAAAAAGATATGTACCTTCTGTAACCCACATCCTGCCAAGCATCCTAGTACCTGGGAAACGATGTATACTGGTATCTCTAGGTAACTGATCTCATCCACCATCAGAGCAGCCAATGATACCACAGGGTTGATATGTGCCCCAGAAATATGCCCAAACATCTAAATCGAACGATAAATAAGCTAGAGCTAGTTTTCAAGTTTTCAGTGTTACAAAAAAATTCATTCGTTAATGTACCAAAGAATGATTGTTGATTCCAAATGCATCTGATATCATCAATTCGGCTAGCATTCTAAACAAAAAACAGGAATTTCTTCTTTTGAGCATTTTCAAAACTCAAACTATCAAGCTTTTGAGTGCGTAAGCCCAAAATGGATTGTCAATTTAAAAACACGCATAAATGTGAATCATTTTTTGTATCTCCGTTCTCATTATTTATTTTTTTTTGTTAATAGACAACATCTCCTAAATGACTTGAATTGGTGAGAACTAAGTGTGACTTACCTGAATAGCAGCCATAACCGAAAGCCCAGAACATAAACTCAAATGTAACGACGAAATTGTCCCTTGTATTCCTGAAGTACAACCGGTACAAACTAAAAATAACATAGAAGCAGTACCTAGAAACTCTGCCAGTGCTATGTTCACTAGTTTCTGAACCTTTGACATTTTTTATTTTAATTTCGTATGAATTTCACATGTATTATCAGAGTTTTAGGTTTAGTTCACGTTCAATTTAGTATCATCTAAAATCACAGATGAAATTCTTCAGTTATTGCAAACTCAATACGTTTGGTCATTTTTGGTTTTACGCGTATCTTGCTCTCAATGAGATTCACATTCAACTGCAAGTTCCTAATTTTTGCATCCGTTTTTGGAAGACAATAAATCGGTTTGTTATGCTTAATATCAGCTTGACAATATAATCTCTTTCATACAGTTTGAATAATACTACAATTTTTATAGAGTCTTATGGGCTTAGGTATATAAATAATTCTACTGTATGATTTATGAATAAATGTTTATTTAATCTAGCTGTATTATTTCAAGATGTACTTTAATAAGCTCCTTGTAATTCAATTTTTGTACTTGCAATGTTTTCATCTAGCGTACCATTGATGAAGGAAAATTTGATCTGTAGCGCTTTTGCTCTTATTTAAATGTCAATAATAAAAAAATAAATTTATTGCTCATGTAAGTACTGAAAAAAAAAATAAATCATAATTCTGATGCAGTGAGCAAGCGGCAAGGTTCGCTTGATAGACAACCATTATTGCCAATTCGCGCTCCTCCATCTAATCAGAAAAATAAAAGTAATATATCAGGAATAATAGCAATACTTGATAAAATTATAATAGTGTCACGGGCCAAAATCGCATAACCTTTATTTTTACTTTATTGAATTGTAATTGTGTTGTGTAATTTGAATTTCTCTTTGTTAATGGTAGAGTGCCGATTCCTAGGACACACCCTTTTTAATGATTTTCTTTTGGCAAATTTCATAGTTTATTGGTGGTATAATTTCACACGTATTATATCTTTCTGTCTCAGCGATTCAATATTGTGTTTAAATCTTTTGGACACTAATGTTATAGTATTATTAATGGCGATCTCAAAAATTTCTTCATAAAATATCGTTGGTCCCTCGTAGAGTTGGTTCCGCCCATTGGCAACCAGCGCCACCTTTATTATATTATATTATTTGCTACCCTATCAAGATACCTTCTTTTAAAAATCTGTATAGAATATTTGATTTACCATCAAGATACCTTCTTTTAAAAACTTGCGTGTACAGACGGTTCCAGCGCCATTTTTCTTCTCTTCGTTCCGTTGAGGTTTTGGTTCTGCCTGGGTCGTTTCGTTGGTAATAATTTCCAGATTCTTGGATATTAAAGCCCCAAATACCAGATTATGGTGCAGCATCCTTTATTTTGTACCTTACGTTTAGTTGTTTTGGTTTGGGTACTACCCCGTCCATTTTCTAATGGGATTTTAACCTTCATCGTAGAAAGGCATTGCGGAGAACCACTATTCACACTCGTTCAGCTTTGTTTTGTAGCTGTATTGAAGCCGATTTGGCTGGAAGCCACCCCTTCCCCTTGACAATAGTGAGAGAAAAGTTAACACAGATACATATAGACATATTATGGTTTAGAACTACATATTATATTTGTATTATACATAGATAACATATAACTGTTGTAGGCAGCGTGGTAAAAGCTATAATTCAAGACATTAGTTAGATAGCAGTTTTAGCTAATGTTTTATAAAGGTAAAATGTCAAGGATCGGACGAAAAGGACATGCAGAAGAATAATTGGCATATCAGCGTGAAATGTAAAATATAAGTCATCTCAAGTCTCAACATAGTCTTCACTTCTCGCTTAAATCTCAAAATTGATAGGCCTTTAATTCTATCAGGCAGCAAGTTGTAAACCTTAACTATATCATATGAAAAAGAGAACTTATAATTCAATGTAACGAGAGATGATGTTTTAACCTGGTGTTACGTCTATGCATGGGTCTTGATCTTCTTTTAAAGATAGGATGGTACCACAAGATACTCAATACTGAAGAGTATCTTGTGGTATAGTAAGGATCGATGAAGGAATCTTCTTTTCTCTATATTGAGCCAACCTATGTTCTTTAAGTGACTGACTGACTGCCGCCTTCTAATAACACTAACAAACCTGTCACAAGAATTTTCAATACGGTGAAAGCACGCCTGATCTCGCTGTAGCAATGACGGGACGAAGACTCAGTCTGCTTAGCTGAGGAGAGAAAGAACTAAAGACTCGCACAATATTATTTTTCTTTACTTGGTTGGTATGCTTCTGCTAAGGTATAGGTCTTAGATATGGATGCCCAGATGGCAGAAAGAGTCAAGATGAAGAAAAGAAGTAAAGGAATTGGGAGAGCAAAGAAAAGGAAATATTTCGGTTGGAGGGATGTTTTAGATTATCAACTGAGATTTGAGAATCCTAAAATTGATCCACAAAATTAATTTCAAGATTCGTTGTTAAATAAATAATTTTTGTTAGGCCCAAAATTGCGCATAATGGAACATACTATATAGGAATAAAGAAACGAAAAAAATTAATGAACTGTCACGTGGAAACAGATAAACAAAGATATACTGTCATTAATTGTAAAAAAGGCCACCATGATATCTGAAACGTCGTACAATAAAGATAAATTAAAACATAGGTCTGTAAATTAAGTGATGAGACTGGCAACACTGGATTCACTGGGCTTGGGGGGAGAGAGGGGAACATGTGTTCCGCCTTCAGTACAAGTTTGAACTCGCTCGAATCATGTGGTGGTCCGTAGCATTTTTTTTGTAAAACAGTTTTTCCTATTGTGTTCTAAACATGAGTGTCGTCAATTTCAAGCAACGGTGTGCTATCAGGTTTTGCTTCACACTTGGGCGCAGTGCAACAAAACTCTTGCTAAACTGCAGGAGGCCTACGGACATAGTGTTTTGTCAAGAGCCCAGGTTTTTATGTGGTTCAAGGCAATTCGATTAAAGATGAACCATGAAGCGGAAGGCCTTCATCTTGTACGTTCAGATCGTCGGCTGTTATTCAGAAAATCGAGGAAGAGTTAAATTTGACCAGAAAACTATTTGTGTGGCTCCTCAGCCTCCTTATTCACCTGGCTTGAGTCCTTGTGATTTTTTTTCTTTCCCAAGTTGGTGAATCACCTCAAGGAAACTCATTTTGGGCAGTGGAAAACATTCAAACGGCTGTAACAGACCAGCTGAAGGCTATTCCAGTATCCGACTTCCAGCACTGCTATGATGAGTGGAAGAACCGTCTCCAATGCTGTGTGGTTTCAGAAGGAAGTTGTTTTGAAGATGACAATATAAAATTGTACCTACATTTGAATAAAAAAAAATAAAAAAAAACAGTCTCATCACTTAATTTACAGACCTCGTATTATGTGGCCAGTTTCTGATGAACATAAAAATCAGAGGATAAGTTTCAGGAGTGACATTAAATTTCTTTGAGTTACACAGAGTGACTGATTCATTATTTTTAGTCGTCTTCAGGGGAACTGAGCATCCACATTGTACGTTAAATTTGTCTACAAATTTCAAACAAAATCAATCCCAGATTTTCATAACTTTCTATGACTTATTTTCGTTCACCGCTCCTCGTCATTGCACGTCCCTTTATATTTGAAAATGAATGTCCTAGAATTACCCTATAAGAAAAAAAAGCGGGATAATAAAGTTTTCTGATGATATTCAATTATAAGTTTTAAGTGAAGTATAGGCTGTTAACCCGATTAAAGTCAACTGGAAAGTTTGGCGATTTGGACAGCCTCCAGAATAATCTGCGGGATAATTTGGGTCCCATAATTGGAGACAATTACTGCCACAGATAAATGCGCTTCAACAAACGAAAAAGGAAGCATGATAATATTAGAAAATGATGTCAAGTTGACGAACTAAGCAAGATTATCTGTTTAAGTTATAAACGCAAGAAATCAAGTCACGATCTCTAAAACGCCTAAAGTCACACCATCACAATATGTATAAAGTTCTTTCTTCTAACATCAGAGATACATCTTTACTTTCTTAGTAAAACTGTGGTAAAAATCAATGAAGTAAACTAAACTTTGTTAATATTGAATATCGACTAGCTACGATAAGAATAATTCTAATTGCAGCAACCCATTTTACCTGTCGATTGCTGTGATATTACCCTTCTAATCTTAGTTTGTGGGTGAGTTTCGAACTAGACAACAGTTTTATTATTGATCGCAGATGTTTTCACAAATATCGAATGAAAATCTAGCCCAAAAGTTCCACAACCTTAAAATTCAACGACAGGTCTGAACATTTAATTTTTCTCAACTATTTGCAAATTTAAGCAAAATGCAAGTAGAGCTGTAAAAAGCTTTTATGAGTTTGTTCTATGAATTTTCCAGTCTTAAAACATTTCCCCAGTCGTAGTATGTTTATCTTATAGTCATAATCCTCAAGAACGCGTTAACGTGTCATAAACATAAATTATGGAAAAACGAGCGAGGATTAGAATCAGAGCTAAGTTATAAAAGCAAAATCCACCGCTTCAGTACGGTGTTGTTGACTTTTCTACTTATTTTCGTCTTTCATATCCTTGTTCACCGTAATTCTCAGTTTCGCAAATATTAGGTCACAGTTGGATCTCCACTCCTTATCCTTATCTCAGCAAATTTTCGTGGATTTGTCGGAATTTAAACCCGCTGGGATTTGACCCTCTTTATTAATGGCGTATATTTCAGGACTTTTTACACAGTAACCGGAGATGCTCATTTTTTGTGCATCCGGGGTAAAAAAAAGAGATAAACTTTGCTTCCCATAAGTGACAAGAAATGTATTGCAACCATTAGGGTAGAGAAATTAGATGATTACTAAAACATTTTGGGATGTGATAACCCTTTTGCTATACACTTGTTGAAGGCAAAACCTAGCGCGCAGTCTTAAAGAAATGATGAGAAGTGACTGACGGTTCTCGTCGAACTTCAAAATACTCTCGTTTTAAATCTAGACTAATCATGTTTATTGACTAGCTTATCTTATAAGTCCAATACAAAGGAAATCTAGAGCAATTGGCAGAATAATTTATGTACTAGAAGGTAAAACTTCATAGCTTTCTTGGTATACTATAATTTTGACCACTATTCCTCTGTTACGGGTATTTCATATTCGACTCTCACCATTGGAATCTCGGAAACGGTGAAAGATACGAAGTTGGTTAAATGGGGGCAAAGTTGCGCGTATAAGGAAATGGCACATAGAAAGTTTCGCAGATTCCGAGTATTTCCGGACGAAAGAAATCTAATTTTCCAAAATCGCTTTTGCCACTTTTTCACCTCCAGAAGATGATATAATTAGAATTTCAATAT